ATTTAATCAAATAATTAATTTTTTTTGTAAACTGCCGCCTGCATAAAGCAGCCAACTAAAAAATTCCCGAATAAAATCCTATATCGTTTCCTATATGTAAATCCATGTGAAATCTTAGGTTGAAATTTCAGAATCTATATGAAATCTTATGATTTCCTATGCTTAAATCTATTTGTTTTATCATTTGGAAGCATGCACATGAAATCGTATTCCATTTCCCATGTGGATTCCCATATGCTTTCCTATGTGGGTATTTTCGATAAGGCGAAAGAGGATTTGACATGGGAAAATTTTTCAAAAAAATGATAAAAGATTTCACATGGGAAATGACATGGGAAAATTTTTCAAAAAAGTGATAAAGGATCTCAATTAGTATTTAACATGGTATTTAACATGATATTTGACATGGGATTTGACATAGGAAATGACATGGAGGAACCTCGTTTTGATATTTTCCTATGCCAATTCCTGTCCCAATTTCCCATGAGTTTTTATATGGGAAACCATATGGTTTCCCATATAATGGGAATGGGGTTTTACATAGTTTTTGACATAGGATCCCATGTGGTTTCCCATGTGGTTTCCCATGTGGGGATTTTCAATAGGGCCACAAAATAGTTAACACAAATATACAGGAAAAATAGCTTTGCGTTTAATTCAATAAAAATTATAGAGATATAAAAATAGAGAATAAAGTGAGATCAAATGGAACATATTATTACTGTAATAGCTAGTGATTTGAAAAAATACTGTTGTTAAAAATAATTGTCTAAAATGCTATTATTATTTTTATTATTATTATTTTTTTTTTCCCCCTAGTGACTTTTGGGAAATCTGCATACAGATAAACACAAAATTAATTTATATCATTATGAACAAATTAAATTGACATTTATTTAAAAAATTAATTATATGAAGAAATTTAGCTAATTATTTTTTCATAGGTTTTTTTTATTTTAATATATTTTTAATAAATATATATTTTAATCGATCTACCCTATTTTTCATTTATGTGAGGCATTTTCATGTGAGATTTTCATTCAAAAATTTATTTTGAATGGGATATTTTTTTTTAGAAATCTTTATGAAAAATAAGAGAATATAAAGAAAATACGTATTTTCTTATTTTTCATAAAGATTTCGGAAAAAAGGTTTCAATAAAAAAAATGTTAAATGAAAATCTGACGTAAAATGTCTCTTATTTAATATAAATAAAAATTAGCGAATTTTATTTTTATGGATTTTTTATTTTAATATATTTTTGATGAATATATTTTTTATATTCTTGCACTGAAAAATAAATTTATTTGATTCAAATAATTGGTTACTTGAATATTATCAAATAAATATTTGCTTGAACTAAATAATTTTTATTCAAGTCAAATTAAATTTTATTTGTTTTAAATAGGTATACAGAAATTATTGGTCCAAATACAGTTTATTTAATAGAAATAAAAATTAATTGATTTAAGTATCAATATTTATTTGATAATTGTCAAGTAACCGATTATTTGAATAAAATAATAATTTTTTTTTCAGTATGATAAATAAATATAATTTTCATAAATACATTTTTCCTAAATTATATTTATATACGGAGAAAAGTGGAAGAACGAATAAAGTAATTTTTACTATGTACTTTAAAAGTTAAACCGAAACTGTCCACAGTTTCTGCGCATTTCTAGCAATTTTTACTCCAGAAATAGTATAAAATTTATTTGGAAGATAGTAAAATTTACTCCTTAAATAGTAAAAATTATTCCGGAAATAGTAAATTTTACTATTTCTGGAGTAAAATTTGCTAGAATTGCGCAAAAATTGCGGACAGTTCCAGTTTTACTTTTAAAGTATAGTAAAAGTTACATTATTCGTTTTTTCATTTTTCTCCGTGTATATAGATATTTATATTTATTTATTTTTACAAATATTTTTATAAATATATTTTTATTTATTTATTTTTATAAATATGTTTATAAATATATTTTTAAAAAATATTTTTTCTTTACATATTTCACTGAAGAGGGATTCCACGGGTAAAATGAACAGTTGTCGGTGACAAGTTATCGATTTGGCTCAAATTTTTTAGGCGTATTCTACCTCTAAAAATACTCATCTAGCCAAAGTTTCAAGCCTCTATCTCATAAAGAACACTCACAATCGTTAATTTCGTGAAAAGTGACATCATTCAAAATGAAGATTAAAAAATCCATTTCTGCTCGAAAAAATGTTAATTTTGGTCAAAAAAAAAAAAATTGGAAAGATACTAGTCGATGGGAAATTTTCCAAAGAATCGAATGCCGTTGGAATTTTTGAGCTATCTCTAAACGCATGCGCAGTAGATTAAAAAAACTGTTTTTTTTTAAATTCATAACTCAAAAACACCTATTTCGATTTGGATCTAATTTTCAGGAAAGACAGCTGAAAAGCTATACTTTAAAATGGTTATACCTAAAATTTGCATATTTTGAGTTTTTAACCATTTTCATGCAAAATACTGAGCTAATTCAAATTTTTTCAAGGTTTCCTTACAGTATTTCCTTTTTTGTGCCAGTTATATAGACAAAAACTAAGCCCAAATTTAAAATCCTCGAAAAATTCCCAATTAGTTATCTATATTCACACTTAATTTTTATTTATTCTAAACAAATTTTAACAGAAAAAACAAATACAAGTTATAATTAAGAGCATTACAAATATGAGAGTATTTAAAAAAAATTTTTTTTTTGCAACATATCGTCGAATGTCAATTCAAGCAGTCACCCATCCAAGTACTAACCGCGTCCAACGTTGCTTAACTTCCGTGATCTGATGAGAACTTGTTTTTGTCTATATAACTGCGCATGCGCACAAAAAGGAAATACTGTAAAGAAACCTTGAAAAAATTTGAATTAGCTCAGTATTTTGCATGAAAATGGTTAAAAACTCAAAATATGCAAATTTTAGGTATAACCATTTTAAAGTATAGCTTTTCAGCTGTCTTTCCTGAAAATTAGATCCAAATCGAAATAGGTGTTTTTGAGTTATGAATTTAAAAAAAAACAGTTTTTTTAATCTACTGCGCATGCGTTTAGAGATAGCTCAAAAATTCCAACGGCATTCGATTCTTTGGAAAATTTCCCATCGACTAGTATCTTTCCAATTTTTTTTTTTTGACCAAAATTAACATTTTTTCGAGCAGAAATGGATTTTTCAATCTTCATTTTGAAAGATGTCACTTTTCACGAAATTAACGATTGTGAGTGTTCTTTATGAGATAGAGGCTTGAAACTTTGGTTAGATGAGTATTTTTAGAGGTAGAATACGCCTAAAAAATTTGAGCCAAATCGATAACTTGTCACCGACAACTGTTCGTTTTACCTGTGGAATCCCTCTGAATTAAACAAAATTTTGAAAAATTAGTATTATTAAAAAAATCACATATTTTACAATAAATAAATATTATTAGCAAGTTAGGTATGCAAGTTTACAAAAGAATTTTCCAATTTTAGAATATTTAAAGAATGCGCGCACACAAGCGTCAGAAATGAAGGCAAATGGATTTTTTTTTTTTTATTTCTAAAAGAAAAAGAGACACACAGAAGTGTATGGTAAATAGAAACAATAAAAGATGGAATTGATAGTTTCAGTTTAATGAGAGAAAAATTCCTATTTCACTTGAAAACGGTCTGTAGCGCAAGGTCTTTGCATCTCTTTATTTCTTCGATTGACTCATACACAGGATATCAGCTATTAAATTCAACAAAGTTTACCACAATACTGAGAAATTTCTTGATAGCAAACCTAAATAGTATGCCTTCGACTATACATTGTCGCAAATTACATATTATTTAAATTGTTAGGTATATATAATTAAACTTTAAGAAATTAGCATTTTTTTCAAAATTTGTTTATGTCGACATCTCTGTTTTTATATATAGTCATAAAATTTCCAAATAAAATATATAAAACCGGGCACTTTATAAATTTTATCCTAAATATAAATTAATGTCAATTAGTAAATATTATTGTATTTTTAATTATTAATTAATCAATTAATATTAATTTTAATATTAAAATAAGAGATTTTTTAAATTTTTATTTTATTAGAATTAATTTAATTATTATATAGTAATATAATTAAAATAAAGAAAGTTGAAATATAGAGAAGGAAATCTTATGGAAAAAAACAGTAATTTTTCTAGGTCGTGTCTTTTAACGAAGCAAATCAAGTTTCTAGAATAGTGGGTCTTGGTTCATTATCCGGAAAAAAGTCAAATAAGAGCATTTTAACATATATTTGACAGTAATTTGAAAAGTAATACTCTTTATAATGCTTTCAAAAGTTTTCTATTTGATAATATGGAAAAAAAAGAGAAAGAACGTTATAGTACGTGAGAGCTTTATTTTGGTGATCTAACGCGGTCAGTAGTAACAGTTAGTAATGGTCAGCCATGCATAAAGAACGCGTGGCGAGCATACAACTATTTTTATCACAATTAATTTATTAATAATTTAATTAACTAAATAAAAAAATTTTTAATTTTATTAATTAAAACCTTACTCATTTTTTTCAATTTTTCTCGTTTTTTAAAAAAATTAATTTTTTTTTTATTGAAAAATTAAAATTTTAAATTATTTAAATAATTAAATTTATCATTTTATAATGATAAAATTATTATTATTTTATAATGATAATTTTAATAAAATGAGAAATTTACATCTCCTGGAAAATAGTCATTCAATATTACAATTTTATTGTTAATTTTACGACCTGAATATATTGTCTATAAAACAATTTCAATTAAAAGAAATAAAGATAATAAAATGGGTATTCTCAATCGAACATTAAAAATCTCATCAAACGTATAAATAAATGAGACCGTAAAAATGATATGTGAAATGGAATATTGTTAGTTGAATGGAAATTTATAGGTATTTAGAAGGATAAGAAAAAAAATTAATATTATTATTATATAGGTGGATATAGTGCGAAAGTGTGTAGAAAGCATAGAAAAAAGAACCTGGATAGAGAAATCGATAAGAGTCCCGACGTGGTGGAACAATTAGAGGAAATTCTTGTTGTGACGACTCACGAGAGCTGGTTCTATCTGGCTCCATATAATTTCTTATATTTACTCCAATGCTTTGTTGCACGTCACGTGCATAAACTCCAATGTCTGGAGTCATTGGCGATAAATCCGCTGCCCGTGGCTCAAATACATCCCTTATGCCCAACTATAAAAATACATTAAAATAAAACTGAACAAAAATCATTTCACTCAATTCAATTCTATATTTAAGAAATTTTTCTCGATTTATCGAAATACTATTGCGATTAATCGAAATTTTCAAATACCAATCGATATACATATCGAAACCGTATATCGAAAAATCGTAACTCTAGTCAATAGTCGATATTTTGTAATATCGAAGTACCAATCGATTTATCGTAGTTTTCAAGTACCAATCGAGATGTGTAACGATAAATCGAAATATATTGTAGTTTCGAAAAACCAATCGATTTATCGCAATTTTTAAATGTCAATCGATATATCGAAATTCTAATCAATAATCATCGATATTTTCTAACGTTGAAGTACCAATCGATTTATCGTAATTTTCAAATACCAATCGCGATATGTATCGAGAAATCGAAATATTATAATATCGAAAAGTAATCAATATAATCAATATATTGTAGTATCGAAAACCTAATCGATTTATCGCAATTTTCAAATACCAATCGATATATCGTAACATAGAAACTCTAATCAATAATCGATAATTGTAACATCGAAGTATACACTGAAAAAAGGGTTTGGTATTGACAACCAAACGTTTGGTTGGTATTTAAGCAACCAAATTTTTTTTATTGAATCAACCAAATTTTGGTTGTCCCAATCAAACTTTAGTTAAGACAACAAAAATCCTTTTTTCCAATTTTGGTTGTGTCAAACAAATTTTGATTGAGACAATTAAAATTTTGTTGATTCAACAAAAAAATTTTAGTTGCTTAAATACCAACCAAACGTTTGGTTGTCAATACCAAACCCTTTTTTCAATGTACCATTCAATTAAAAATAAATGATAATTTTCTCAAAAAAAAAAAAAAATTATTAACGCCAGTTGCACCGGTTCCACCGACCCCAGCGTCTCCACCCGCCACAGAATTTGGACCTTCACTAGTTCAAGTTTAATACACAATGAAAAAAACGAAATTAAAAATATTTATAATAAACTATCATAGCTCCGGTAAGTTTACTATAACTTACCAAATAAATTTCTATAAATTATCGTATAAATTTCTATAAATTATCGTATAAATTTCCATAAATTACCAAAATAAAATTTTTAATTGTCGTTCGCGCTATATAGGTTTTTGTAAATTACCGCGAAAATTTCCATTAATTACAGCGGAAATTTCCGTAAATTACCAAAATATAATTTTTTATTTATGCTTTACATATTTTTATGAATTTTAGACAAAATTTCTATAAATTACCGCATAAATTTCCATAAATTACCTCAAAAATTTCCGTAAATTACCGAAATAAAAATTTTTAATTGTCGTTCGCGCTATATATATTTTTGTGAATTACCCCAAAAATTCCCATAAACATTTTAAATCAAATTTCAACTATTTTATAGAATTCAAAAAGCAAAGAATTTTTTTCTAATTTGTTTAAAAAAATTTTTCCGGCCCACCATGGATATTTATTTCTTGACACTTTATCTTCAAAATTATGTATTGATATTTATCATTTCGGTAAAAAAATATTTTTAAAGTTTCAGTCACCAAATCGTGCGTTACGCGGAGAATAGCCCATATGTATATAATTTGAGGTGGATACGCTTGACGAATTTTTATCCATATGTAAGTACAATAAATTATTTAATAATGTCAAATATTCTACAATAATAATAATATAATTGAAAAAAAAAATAAAAACTTACCCTCTGCAAATAGGGAGTGAGAGTAACGAATCCCTTTAACATAAAAGAGGGAATGGTTGCTCTTATCCAAGTTGGCTGCAAATGTTTCCGTAACAATCGTAAACTTTTCGATCCTAAATCTATTGCTAGGCGTAAAGTGTCGGGTCTTTCAGTTGGTAGAAACAGAATTACATTATACCGTGGATTCTAGAAGCAAAAAACAAAAGCAATTTTGTTAATCAAGTTTTAAAAATGTTTCAACTTTAAATCTTTATATTTTATTTCGATAGAAATCAAATTTTTAAAAGATACTGAATTACGCAACGTTTATGATCAACGATTATAAAATCAATTTTTATTTAACACGAAAAATTATAAAATTGTTTATATATAAAAAAATATTTTTTTTTATAATTTGTTAATTAATAAAAACTATAAGAATTATTTTTCAGGTAAAATATTATAAAATTTTTCATTATAAAAAATTATTTTTTTCAAAATCTTTTATCATAAACGTTGCGTACTTCAGCATCATTTTTTAAAAAAATTATCAGATTAAAAGAAAAAAATTATTAAATATCCAAAATTTTTTAATTTTAACATCTCTTTTGACGAAAATGCAATATAATTTTTAATTAGGTACTGAAAACTAGAGTTTGAAATTGGAAATAATTTGTAGACGTAAAAAAAAGTAATTAAATTCTTATGAAATTGGATATAATTTAATATGGGTCGAAAAAGAGTTTTAATTAATTATAATTTAAAATTAATAAGGGAGTAAACTAGTTTTTTTTCACAGTTTTCCTAAAAGTATCAAATTGAGACCAAAAATTGCATCAAATCTTTGCAACGTTTTAATACACATAACATAACATAAAATGCATGAGAAAAAATTTGTCGATAAAATCAATATAGCCGAACTTTTTAGAAGGTAGATGGCAGTTTTGCTTTTTATAAAAACGATTCAGAAAAAATTTTAAAAAAAGAAAATAGATGAGTGCTGCCATCTACCTTCTAAAAAGCTCGGCTATATTGATTTTATCGACGAATTTTTTCTCATGCATTTTAGGTTATGTTTATAAGCTGTCACTTTTTAATTATCCAATTGCACATTGTCTTTGATTTTCTGTTATTTTCATTTTCAAATTAAATAGTGAAATGGTCTCCGCAATTGTACTATTACCGAAATATCTGAAAAAAATTCGTTTAATTTTGAGTCGATTCAATTCGGCCATGATTGATATAAATTGATTAAATTTTTTGCATCAAAAAATGAGACCGTTTCGTGTATCATTTCTAAAAATGATACACAAAACGATCTCTTTTTGATATAACTTATGTGCATTAAAACGTTGCAATAGAAAAAGATACAACCAAGTTTACTGTGATTTTAAATTTTTGATTTTTAAAGAAGTAAATTTTTTTTTATGTTAAAAAAAATAGAAGGTCGTTTGAAAAGAATTGATGCTTAATTCATAGAAGTGACCCTTGACGACAATTTTGTCGTCGAAATAATGCGTTTCGCTCGTTGAACTCTCTTTGTATAAATTTTCACGGTTGGTAAACTTCGTTTTTTTGCGGAATATTATCATTTTGTTTCATGTTATCCAATTCGCGTAACAGATTACTATATTTACTTCCGGTGATAATTATTTCATCACGATCAATAATTTTTCGTTAAAAGTATTGCTTTAATTATTTTACCTTTATTTATAATGCTAACAATTTTAATTATTTTTCATAGTTCGAAATTGTGCAATTATTTTTTAAACCATTCCATCAAATAAAAAAGTTTGATAATTTGAATAAATTTAGGGTCGATTATGTAACTATTCCACATTCCACTTTTTACTTTCCGCGTTACGAATTCCGCATTTTACTTATCATATTTCACATTCCGGAATTCACTTTTCACATTCCGCATTCCGGAATCCACTTTTCACATTCCGTATTCTACTTTTCACCTCTATTTTTTAGTTTGCGGATTGCTTTTTACATTTTCCAAATTCCGGATTCTACTTTTCACTTTTTGGATTTCAAATTCCAGGTTTCTCTTTTCACATTTCATTTTCCACAATGCACATTTCAGTATTTATTTTTTAATATATTTAATTAATTGCTGTTCTCAACTTGACATTGTCAAAAAAAGTTACTTTTTTCATTTTACAAAAAATGGCGAGGAAGTGAAAAGTAGAATGTGGAATGTGTAAAAAGGAATCCGTAAATTAAAAAATGAAATATGCAATGTTAAAAGCAAATTACGAAATGCGGAAGGTGAAAAGTGGAATTTGGAATACGGAATGTGAAAAGTAAAACGTGGAATACGGAACGTGAAATTTAAAATGTGGAATGAGGAAAGTGAAACGTGGGATTCGGAAACCGAAAAATGGAAAGTGGAATGTGAAAAGTGAAATGCGGAAAGGAAAAAGTCGAATGTGCAATACAGAAAGTAAAAAGTGTAATGTGGAATCCGGAAAGTGAAAAATGAAATGCGGAATCCCTAATGCAGAAGGTGAAAAGTAGAATGCGAATTATTTTTTGTTTTTTAAAAAGTGACCAAATTTTCGAATTTTTGAAAAGAAAAGAATATTTTCAGTTTTTCTTCGACTTTTGATTAATGTTACCATACAATTTTTTTTCAATTTTTGTTAAAAAAATAGCAATTTTTTATAAACAAATTAATTTTTTTAAATTTAAATACGATTAAAAAAAAAAATTCTTTTAGAATATACTTGGATACAGTAAGAAGATTTATTTAAATAAATGTTTTCATTAGGCTTACTCTAAAAATTTATGCAAATAAAAGTCTTTTTAGTGTTTTAAAGTGCATTTTAAAAGAAAATTTTTTTTTAAAAAAATCAATTTGTATATAAAAAGGGTTACCTTGAAAAAACCAAAATTTTGAAAATTCATAATTCAAAAATTCGGACACTTTTTAATAAACAAAAAATAAACCTTTTTTTTTGGTCTAAAAAATAGAAAAAAATATATTTAACCGAATTTAAGAGGTCGACTTAAATTTCACGTGAAATAGTATAAAAATTTCATTTGAAACACTTTTTAAATAAAAATGTTTAACGAGAAAAAAGAATTTTTTTTGCGCTAGGAATGCTTTGTTACATTTTCTCTGATTAAGATTGGAATAGAATTTATTTTTTCAAAAAAAAAGTGTTTCACAAAGAAGGTCGGCACGTAAAAGATAATAATTTTTGTAAAAGGATTTGCGTCGTGCACTGCTGTGGTAGTAAACTAGTCTTAAAGTTTAAGCATTGAGAAACGTTAAAATGAGTGCGTTTTTATGAGGTGATAAAAATACGTTTAGAAACTGACATCAAGAGGAAATTCCACTGCCACAGCCTTCAACGAAGGGAAATATGCAAAGGGAAGAACTGCTGTATAGGTTGCTGCTGACACTGAAGCAACATCACAGCCATTTACAAGAAATCCTACTTGCTTTGAATCCCTTACAGTTGCTTCTTCTGTTTCTTGAGGTGGTCGCCAAATATTCAAATGCTGCATCCACAGACCATCATCTTAAATAAATCAAAATAATATTATTTCACATCAAATAAAAATATTTTAATTTACAATTTTTATAATTTAAATTCAAATCAATATAAAATTTTATTTAAATAATAAAGAAGAAATTATGTTATTTAAATTTCCTTTCATTTTTTTATCAGAAAATATTTCTTATTATTTATTTATTTAGAATTTTATTATACATACATCGAAAAAATTTTGGTGCAACAGCTGCTCCAAAAGAAAAATTTCTATATATTCAGTTAACTTCACTCATAAAATACTCATGGTAAATATTAAGTATGAAGTTAATTGAATGTAGAAATTTTTCGTTTGGGGCAGCTGCTGCCCCAAAATTTGTTCAGTGATAGGAATGAAAATAAGTTCTTTCGTACTGTAGTACTTAAAGAAAAAAAAACTAACAAACAAATTATTAATAATTTATTTAAAAAATGTTAAACTTTATAATTATAATAAATTAAATTAATCAACTTTTAATAATGTAACTTATTATATAGAAATTATACTTTATAAGATCGGTGAAGTTCACATCGATTACAATCATTGAAATTTTAAAAACTAAGATACTGCATAAACACAACAAAAAATTACAAAAAATTCAATTTTTCTTAGACAGACAATTTTATTGCAAATTCTCGCACAAAATACAATTAAAAGTGTAGAAAAAAATTAAAACTCCCTTATACAAATTTGGAAGAAACCCCTAAAACAAACATATATTTGATTTAAGGATTGCTTTAGAGATGTTTCCCCTACTTGTATCAGGGTGTCAATTTTTTTCTACACTTTTATTTGTATTTTGTGCGAGAATTTGCAATAAAATTGTGTGTGTAATGAAATTTCAATTTTTTTGAAAAATGTCAATGTAGGGGCTTATACCACCGTCCGACAAAATTCAACTTTTTTTTTCACACACGAAAAAATCAATGATTTTCAGAAACTAGGACCAAAAAAAAGATACCCGTTTCTGGCCGTTTTGCTAGATCAGGTCATTTTTTGCTTTTAGGGGTAAAAACAACCCTTAATTGAAAGGTGATAGGAAATCTTGTACAAATAAATAATTTTTTATGAAACCTGGTATCTCGGGGTTTTCCGGGTCGCTGATTACGAATCTGATGTCAGATTTTCAAAATTCAAAATGGCGGATCCAATATAGCGGTAGAAATTTATAAAAATTCACCAATTCATTTGAAAGTTGTTACTTAGGGGTTTTTGGGGTCGCTGATTACGAATATGATGTCAGATTTTCAAAATTCAAAATGGCGGATCCAATATAAATTTAAAATTAAATAAATTAATTTAAATTTATAAATATTAATTATTTTTTATAAAACTTGGTGTCTAGGGGTTTTTGGGGTCGCTGATAATAACATAATAATAATAATAATAATAATAATAATAATAATAATAATAATAATAATAACATAATAACATTTATAAATTTCGACCACTATATTGGATCCGCCATTTTGAATTTTCAAAATCTGACATAATATTCGTTATCAGCGACCCCAAAAACCTTCAAGTAACAACTTTCAAATGAATTGGTGAATTTTTATAAATTTCGACCGCCATATTGAATCCGCCATTTTGAATTTTGAAAATCTGACATCATATTCGTAATCAGCGACCCCAAAAACCCCTAAGTAACAACTTTCAAATGAATTGGTGAATTTTTATAAATTTCTACCGCTATATTGGATCCGCCATTTTGAATTTTGAAAATCTGACATCAGATTCGTAATCAGCGACCCGGAAAACCCCGAGATACCAGGTTTCATAAAAAATTATTTATTTGTACAAGATTTCCTATCACCTTTCAATTAAGGGTTGTTTTTACCCCTAAAAGCAAAAAATGACCTGATCTAGCAAAACGGCCAGAAACGGGTATCTTTTTTTTGGTCCTAGTTTCTGAAAATCATTGATTTTTTCGTGTGTGAAAAATCGTGTCGGACGGTGTACTAGGTGTGTTTTTCGAATGAATTTGGGGTTGAACTTAATTTTTTTTGTTAAGTATAATGTTTTTTTAAAGTTTTTTTTGTAATTTTTTATTGTATTTATGCAGTATCTTGGTTTTTAATATTTCGATGATCGTAATCGATGTGAACTTCACCGACCTACTTTATAAGTCCTCTATAGATTCAGAACTTCATTATTTTCCATGAAAATAATAAATTCCAAAAATTGAAAATTTTTCGAATCAGTTAAAATAAAAAGATTGCTAATTGTGTGGTATTGTCTTAACGGAATTTTTACAGCCATATTTTCTTCTTCTTTTTTACTTAATATTTCGAAGTACTTTCGACCAGGATATTGCTGTTTCGTAAGATTTAAAAACGTACTGTAAACTAGTTTTTCTTTTAGAAAAAGTTATGAATTCAATGAATGAATGTGTAAAATATTTCTATCGAAAAATAACACTAAAATACTTTTAGAGATAAATTTTCACTTGCAATTCTAATCATAACTATTAGCTTCAATCGTTGGTATAATTAAAAAAAATATGTTATACATTTTCTCAAAGCTAAATAAAATTATTCGTTATAAATAATTTTTATTTGGTTTCAAGTAAATATTTATTTGATAATAATCATGTAACTAATATTATTTCAATCAATTAATTAACAATTTTTTTCGAGTGTACACGGAAAAAAATTAATCTCTAAATTTGCCGTTTAATGTGAGATTTATTAAGCATAAACTATTTATATTTGAAAGTGAAAATAAGATGTAAAGAAATCTTTAAAATTTGGATTTGGAGTTATAAATTAAAATATTAAGACACGTTTTTCCTATTAAAACGAAATTAGAAATCTTAAATTCCATGTTATGGAGCATACAGATTTGAGTATAACATTTTTAGGTTATGTTCTCAAGTGACAGTATAGAAAAATGTTATTTTAAGTTTTATCTGTAAATCAAAGAAAGAAATATTTAAAATTTTATTTTGGCAAATAGTTTTTAATTATAAATGCATAAACCATATTAAAATATTTCATTTCAATTAAATTAAGAGTATTGCTTCTAAAACTTTTTAGCAAAGAAAGACCTTTAGTTATCGTCCTATAAAAACGGCACTGAATGTGAAAATAATAAACATTAATTTTCAAATACTCTTATCTCGAAATCGAGAATTCATGCAAAAACGCGATTGCAAAACGAAAAATAGGAAAGTAATATACACAATTACATAAATGCTGTCCTTTCAGTTTGGCGACATGTTGAAAAGTCGTAACAGTTCTATAATAATTTTATTATTTCGCGGCATATGGTATATACATTGGTTACACCATACGCCATAAACTAATAAAATTATTATAGAAGTGTTACGACTTTTCAAAATGTCGTCAAACTGGAAGGACAGAATTTATATAATTGGGTGTAAAATGAGTCTGCAGGTGGTTCATTACATTCAGTCGCCGTCAGATGGCAGAAGCATGCAAAGAGCACAAAGTCACATCTATCATTATATTACTTTCCTCTTTTCTATTTACTTATTCCTATTTTCCGATTTTAATGTCTAATTTAGATGTATTTCTCTGCAGTTAATAATAAATTTATGTCAAGTTTAGTCATTAATTTTTTTCCGTGTATTATTAAATAAATATAATTTAATATTCTCCATTCTTCTATAATAGTTCAATTTTACTGTTAATTAATCTAATTAATAATAAAAGAATATCATAGTCTTGATTGTCCTAAAATGGCTTAATGATAATTAATGAATTGAGTAAAATTAGTTTACCAGGATAAGTTGAAAAATAATGCTCAACACTTCTTCGTTTACGAACATTGTTGGATGACGGAAGTTCAATTGTTGGTTCTGTTTCAGTTTGTAATCCAGAATCAGCAACAATTGTTGATGGAACATTCGTTGTGGGAATGTCAGTATTGAAATTAATTGGAACATCGGTTTTTGTAATAGTTGGTATATTATTTGTGGTTATCGTAATTGGTAAATTTGTACTCGCAGATGATGGTACATCCGTAGTTGAACTTGTTACAATATCAGTGGATCTACTGGTTTTTATTGAAGTAGCTTCACTGTTTCGATCACTATTAGTACTAGTACTAATATCTGTAGTTGATGTCTTTAAGGTCGTAGTCACTGGCAGCAAACGAGCTGAAAATCGTCAAAAAAATGTTCTTCTTTTTAAATTAAAATAAAAATGGTTCACTTGGTTTTTCTATTTACAGCTCTATTTTTTATTTCAATTTATATCTTTGCGGTAGCGAAGCCATTTCTGAATTATTACTCAAGACATTGCATAAATTTAAATATTTCTGGATAACTAAATTCAATTTTGAAGTCAGATTTTGAAAATTCAAATCCGATATGGCGAATCTTTGAATACATTATCTTAAGTTCAAGTTTCAAGGGAATCTGATGAAATTAAAAATAACTTGACGCCAAATTAGTTGCAACATTATGAAATATAACCCCAAGTAACAAGTTTCAAGAGAATCCAATCCAATCATTGTAAACTCACTGAAAACTTGTTACCTAAATGCGCTCTCAATGAGTTTCCAAAAAATCTGTATCGGTGAAGTACAATTAAGACTCCTGATTCAAGAACCGGTCAGATGCTCGGAACGTAGTTCCTCAAATCAGGCACTGCAAAAAGAATGTCAATAACACTTAAGTCAAATATTTTGATTTTTAAAAAATAAGATTTTAAGAAAAAAATAAGAATAAGATTTTTTACAAAATAAGAAAACAAAATTTTGATTATTAATTTTATTGACATTTTTGTGCGTTGAGAGATTTGATAAGGTGCGTCCCGAGCGTCCGTCTGGTTCTTGAATCAGGAGCCTCAATTCATTTTTCTTTTATTACAATTTTCTGAGCAAACGCAGTACCGCAAAGTATAAACATCAGTTAATCTAATCTCCACATTAAAAATTAATTGAATTAATCACAATCACTAATCTTAGCCACAAAAAATTATCATCATCATCATACTTGAAGTACTCATTCTTGGCTTCCTCATTGTTGAAGTGATAGAGTCAAGAATTCGCGACGAAGTTTGAAATTTGTCAGACGTGGTCGATCTCAAAGTCGATAAACTCGGTCTCGAGCTAAATGTCACTGGCGTTGGACGAAATGACGTTGATCTAGCAGGTACCGATCTTGATCCAAATGTAGTGGTTTCCATTCTCATTGAGGTTAATGACTCCGTAGGTGTTTCAAGTTCATTACTGGCTTCCGATCCAGTTGCCGAATTAAATTGGCCAACAGAAATTGGTGCCATTGATTCGGAGGAATCATCAAAATTTGTCATTGTCGTCATTGCTCCCGCGCTTGAAACTGAAGTTGTCGAAAGTCTTCCCGGTGAATCGGTTACACCTAAAGGAGTATCCAAACTTCCAGCAGTTGACGATGAAGAAGATGTAACTGATGAATTTGTCGATTGTCTAATTGCAGAATTGTTTGGCGTTACGGAAATTATATCAACTGAAGTGTCAATTGTAGTTGGAGGAGGATTCATTGGCGTTGTTGCTGAAGCACCATCTGACATTAGGGGATTTGCTCCGGCGGGAGATATTGTCGTTGCGGCTGCAGAAGCTCCTGTTGTTGTAGAAGTAACTACTGTTGATGATCCATCTGTTCCAGGTGTACCTGTGGTTGATGATCCATTATTTCCTCCAGATGTGCTATTTGCTTGATTCGCTGCTCCATCAGTAAGCATTGTCATCATTCCATTTGTATTCGTTTGTGTTGTATTCATCATGTCACCAGCCATTGTTGTATTATCATTTATATTAACAGTCGTGGCATCAGTTGCATTCATTTGGGAATTGTCTATCGTAAAATCAAAACCATAGAATCTTAGAATGTCCTCGAATTCAGGACGTAACCTTGTGTTGTCTTTGTTTAGATTCAGTCCTCCGAGAAAACCGTCTGCGTTTAGGTAGCTCTTAAACATGAATTTTGTTCTTTAAAACAAAAAAATAGCTGAAGAACACAGAAAACAGGATTCAAAATAACCACCATGAGATACAGGAAAAATACAGCTTTAACTCATTTTGAATTTTAGACAAAAAGTTTAAAAACGTAAAATCATAGAGGAAAAACAAATAATTACATAAATACTAATCCGGTATGAAGCGAGAAATTGAAAAGGATTCAAAATTTTAATTCTTTTGAATGGATAAATTGGAATGATTTAACTTCCCGATAATCCAAAGCTGCCGATAATCAAGTGGCTATTTATTTTGGAAACATTAAAAACTGATAAAAAATTAATTAATTTTAATTAATTATTTCACGGATTTATAAATAATTAACTAAAATAAATTAATTGCCAATTAATTAATCTAATAATAGATGAATTAATTATAGTTATTTATAATATTAAATAATTAATTAAAATGAATTAAGTGCAATAAGTTACGTACAAAAATGAACAATTAAGGAGAAAAATTAATTTAAATAATCTAAAAGTATACTATGGTACGATAAGTGATTTACCCTGAGTCTTCGATGAATGTCTCTTAATCCAATTCGTGTGATTTGTCGATCGTGCGGCAATTGCAGACAATCGGCAATTTGTTTACTTCCACGTCCAGCGGATCCCTCGTAAAGGGCGATTAAAACGAAGCCCAATCCCGTGGGAGAAAATGCAACATTTCCTGGCACATGATATTGTTGAAGTATATTAATACCTAAACTATTGATAACATCCGTCATGACATCCACCGGACGTCGTGGAACTTGACGCATCCAATGTTCGTGATTGGCATTTTGATAATGGCCATTCACCAAGAGACAAGAAACTGCATATATAAACAAAAGAGTTTACAATATATTAGAAATTTATTGATTATCACGATCTATATTTATGATCTATACTGTGAGAAAAAAAATTCTCGATTGGCAATTGGCGATTCAAACAGCTACACTAGCGCCACAGTTGAACTAATTTAGGTGTGACTCGCTCTAAAGCAGTCTCTGTTTTGACAGTTTATTTCAAATTATTTAATTATTCTGATATTTTTATTGCGTTTGTAAAATTATTTTTAAGCGTTAAATAAAAAAAAATAATTTAAAACACATGGAGTGCTACAGAGCGAGTCACGCCTAAATTAGTTCAACTGTGGCGCTAGTGTAGCTGTTTGAATCGCCAATAACGCGCTGCCATATTGGATTCTAATGCTTCGTTTAGAAAAATTAATATTTAAATATAGAGATTTGTTTGAACAATGTGACGGGGAAATATTTTTTGACGTTATTTCGAGAAATTAAATAATCAAATATCCTAAAATAAGGGTAAGGATAAAAGGTCAATAGTTCGTTCCGGCGACCTAACATCAATCTTAGCGCTAATAGTTCGATATATTGCTGCATTACCAAAAATCACTGGGTCCAATTGTACTGTGTGTTAGAGTTGATCTCCATGTGTGAACAAATTTTGATTGACAAAATTATATCTATTATTTTATATGGAACAGTAGAATATTTGATTCTTATATTTGAAGATTTACGTTCATTTGGAAATTTATCATGTTTTATTATTTGATCAGAAAAAGAGTCAATATTTAATCATCTTTGTAACCAAGTAAGTGATTAATGTTATTTCTTCTTTGTTTAATAAATTAGAATTCCCGGAAGTCGCTTATTTTATATTTTTGAGTTCACCAACTTCCCTACCTGTGATCTGTGTAGTCATTTGTTAATTTTAATTAATAAATTAATTGGCGTTCGTGTGCAAATATTATTTCATTTTATCGTGAATTAGAGCCCCACAGAAACTCTGAACCCGCACTGAGAAAAAAGGTTTGAGCTGACAACCAAATATTTCATTCAATATATGTGCAACTAAAATTTTTTGGTTGACACAACTAAACTTTAGTTGACAACAACCAAAGTTTGTTTCAGACGACTAAATGAGAAAATGAAAAAGAATTTGGTAGTCTCAACCAAACTTTGGTTGATGTCAACTAAAGTTTAGTTGTGTCAACCAAAAAATTTTAGTTGCACATATATTAAATGAAATATTTGGTTGTCAGCTCAAACCTTTTTTCTCAGTGCGGTCGCGCTAGGTGTGGAATAATTTTATATATATTTTCTTGTAAAATTTGCGTTAAAATTATGTTTGATTTAAAGTTAAAGGTTATTTTAGAATGGACACATGTAAATTTCCATTGGAAGTCCAGTAGAACATCCGAAATATGTCATATCTTTATATTTCTCACACCTGCCTCATCCTGTTTTTCGCTATTCTAGTTCCCCGCCCTGTATCGAAAACAACCTACCATTCCCTTTAGAGTATTACAATTCGGATGTTCCACTGATTTTTTTTATATTTATTGTCAATAAAATTTTGACGTGATTCTTAACCTAAAAAATTTTATTTTGTGTATCCAAGAAGACTAGAAACAGGAGGAATAACTCCAGTGGTGGGGGTAAGAGAGCGTTGAGGCAATGTACGGGCACATTGAAGGTGGCAAGCAGTTTGTGCAGTAGACCAAATTACGTTTCTGCGCATACTGACATGATTTCTGCTAACTTATGTTTTGTTTACCTGTTTGAAAGAAATCACGTGGAACAGAAATTTGCAATCGTTGGATAATTTTGTTGTGTGCAATGTTAAAAATTGTGATAAATAGAAAATAAATTGTAATGTAAAAATGCCTTCAAGTTGCTGTGTTATGAATTGCTCAAATAAAGGTGATAGTGGTGATAAGCACTTATTTAAATTTCCAAAGGACGAGGTAAGTTATAAATTTGAAACTCATTTAATTTATTATTATAAATAATTTTCTCATTAAAAATAGTAAATGCAAAAGTTTTACGTTTATTTAGTATCTATTGTTATATTTTACAGAAAGTGAGAGATGTTTGGATAAATGCTGTTGGTCATAACCTTAAAAACGGAACATGTGATAACAAAAATCTTTTTATTTGCAACAAGCATTTTGATTTATTATTTTCCCGGTCAGATTTACTTTTAAATAAAATTACAACATGTTATAATGTTTTGTAGCACTTTCATTTTGATTTCTTGCTTAATATTTTTAACCTCACTATCATGATGATACATTCAATATATCGTCTGCTCGGCAAACGCTCGAGAAGCATTCACACATGTATGCGCGGATGTTTCATTTTTTCACTACTGCGCAAACTACCGGAGTCCTTCATTGTCCTCCGAATTTGCTTCACCCCCACCACCGGAGTTATTCCTCCTGTTTCTAGTCTTCTTGTGTGTATCGTTCGGAGATAATTTTTTAAGTTAAAGTTCATTTTGTGTTTATTAAATTTACTGTATTTTTATCCAAAGTGCGCAATATAATAAAAATAAAATAATCCACTAGATCAAATAATTACTTTTCATTTAAATTTTATATAATTATTATTTCATATCAAGAATATATTAACTTTGAATCAAACAAAATATATATGTTTAAATGAAATATATTTTATCAGCAAAAATGTAGGGGAATAGTGTCAGGGTTGGACACTTGGCTTTTTTTAAATAAGAACACTAGCGCCACCTGTGTGCGTACGTGACGAATCTTCTAGTAGTGCAACCTAACTTTTTGTGGCATTACATTTTTGAAGAATCAAAAGTAGCGGTGCAATCGAAGAGACAAAAAAAGTTTTGTTTGACTTGTGAATAAACCTAAAAAATGTGTAATAAAAAAGCAAGAATTCGGCAAGGTAAGCTTATTGAATGTATTGTGGGGTACATAATTTAAGAAGAAAAAAAGTGAAAAATCGAATCGCGACACATGTCTGGTTATGGTTAGCACAATTCGAAAATGATGCTTCTAGTTAGGGTTGGACACTTTATACAGTTAGGGTTGGACACCCATGTTAATTATGAATTTGACACAATTTATAAATAAATTTTATTTTATTGATGTTTCAGTGCAAAATTGTGCCAAAGATATTAGAAAAATAATACTTAAATTGTATAAATTTTGTTCATCATTTCATTGAGTTATTTGGAACAATAAAGAGTTATTTTTTGTAATTTGAGTTAATTCCTTTTTTAAACCCATGAAGCTTTACAATTTGTAAACAATAAGTAAAGATAAACATGAAAAAATAAGAATAAAAAACATTACAAATGTTATTTTACGTTTTTACCAATAATGCGTTTCGATTTTCAAAAAGTGTCCAACCCTGACTAGATTTTTTTTTAAATGTTTATAACTTTTTTAATTTTGGACCAATCAATTTACGGTCCACAGCAAAAGTGTTCCTCTTTTGTAGATCTTTCCACCCATATACCACAATTGACTGAATTTATCTAAACAAAATATTTATAAACAAAAAACCAAAATTGTGTCCAACACTGACACTATTCCCCTATTATTGAATTAAACTGCTATATGTTTGATTGTAAAAAAGATTTACTAAGTTTGAATTAAACATAATATAGTTGAACTAAAAATATTATTTTGTCAGTGTTTTAAACTAATAGAAAAGTAGTATATGTTTGTTGATTCAATTTAAATGTTTAAAATTCTGCATTATATGTAATTAATAAAAAAAACCTTTGGAATCCAATAGCGGCGCGCTTATTACCCAATCGAGCATTTTTTTTCTCAGTGTATAAAAATAATAATAGTAATAATAATAATAATTTTTGTTGATTATAATTTAATCAAAATTAAATGAATAGTGAAAAAATAATAAAATGAATTAACAAATTAAATAGATTATAATCAATTTTAACAGATTAATAAATATTATTTCATTGTTAATAATAATAAAAGCAGTAATACAATAACTGCGTAAATTTAAAATATTTTTAAAAAAATTGTTTATTCAAAAATTTTGAAAAAAAGGTACCGAAAGAACTATAGAAAAATATGTTTATATAATAATTTTTTTAATAGCGTCAAATTGCTTGAAAACTAAAAATTATTATATATAGATATGCATCTCATTTTTTAAATAGTTTAAAATTGTTATTTTTTTTAAATCCAATGTTATATAACTTTAAAACATATATTTTAAAAGTAATATTTTTAAAAGTAAATGATGAATTACTCTCTAAATTTGAATCAAGAAAAAATTCAATGATTTTAATTAAGTTGATCATTTTCAGCTATTTAAGGGGAGGATAACCACCTTTATTTTGAGACGTTTAAATTTTAATTATCGCAGGAAGTTATATTTTTTTTCTTACATCATTTGGGTTCTAAAAATATATAGGATGGTCAAAAAAAAAATTTTTGTTTTCTTGACCATTCTGTATGTTTTTAGGACCTAAATGATGCAAGAAAAAAATATAACTTCCTGCCGTCATTAAAATTTAAAGGACTCAAAATAAAGGTGGTGCCTCCCCTTAAATCATTATAATTTTTGTACTGAATAGTTCTTTATAAATCAAAAAAAAAATCAGTTCATATTATAAATACAATAATAAATTTAACAATAATTTATATTTCGCATTTCTCGAAAGAGTTAAAATTTACTTTTTACTTTTAACAAATTTTTTCAACTAAGTAGGTATTACAATTTTTACAAATCGAAACATGTTGTTCCTATTCATTTATTTAAATAAATCGATTAAAGGCCATGTAAAAATTATTCAAATAAAAACGGAAAACAAATTTAAAAATTATTTATCGCGAAAAAATTATTTTGAAAAATTAGATATGTAATACTTAAATAATATATCATTTTTCCAACTATTGTTTTATTTGTTATTTTATTAATATATTTATAATAAAATATAAATATAATAACAATATACATTTACATATAATAATAATATTAATAAAAATAAATATTTTATTTTTAATTATTTTGTTTCGAAAAAACATACAATAGATATATTGCAACACTAAATAAAAAATAAAATATAAGATATTTACATACGATTTAATAGAATAATCCAAGTGGTACTTTCCATTGTCTCGCAGCTTCACTGCCGAAATAATTTTCGGCGTCCGAAAAGGAGAGAGGTATGGAAAAACTGCAAAATTTCCACAGTTACTTTTCACTTAAAAACGTCGCATGATTTATTGTGAAACACACGCGAAACTTATCCAAAACGAAATAATAAAAAATAAAATAAAAACAATAATAAGGATTAGAAGATTAGAATAGAGTCTTTGCCGAACGCGTTCTTCAGCGGAACTGCCGCGGTTCTTGCCGCGGGGACCGCCACGACTCTCAGGGTTTTTTAACACGCAAGGTCGTCAGGTAGATAACCCCGTACCATCATTTCACACGATAGTTTCCTCCCCCAACTCCACGAAATCCACAAATCATCCATTGCTTCTTCCTTATACTGAAAAAAAAAAAAAATTTTTTTTTCTTTTATCACAATACAAACAATGTGCAAATAATATACAAAAACACTCTTACCTCACGATTCTTTGCAATTTTTATAGAAACCATAATCCTTAAAGTAAATATAAGGAAATTTTTCATTTATTAACAATGTAATTAAATAAAATAATTTAAAAATTAGTAAATTATTATTTGATTTAAAATAATTAACGCATTATTTTATTTATTGTTGCTATTTTAGTGTTAACTAAATTAATTGTTAGTTAATTATTAATTATTGTACCTCACGGAAAGAAGGCTTTATCTGGAACTGCTATGCGTTTCTCTAGAATAGCTAAAACTTTCGCTGTTCCAGGTAAAGATTTTTTTTCAGTGCTTGATACGTTATTATGTTACATTCTCTCATTATCATTATAAAATAAAATGTAGTACTTTTTGTATAGGGAAAAATTTATTAGATTTTTAAATACTACGTTCCGAGACGAGAAAAACTTTTCTTTTTAAATTTGTCAACTGGACCTCGAGATATTTTATTTTCTATTTGACACAGCTAAAAATTTCACTTGTTTATAACTTTTAATAAATAATTTTTTTTGTTCTACTACTTTCAGAAACTTATTTCGATCATAATAGGAGTGAAAAAAACGTTTAACATTGAAAATTAAATTTGTTAATTTTAGGTGATCCGCTTAAAAAAATTCTATAACTGAAAACACTGAGAAAAATGTTTAGTCAGGGCAACCAAAATTTGGTTGGGCTAACAAAAAAATTTTGTTGGTATTTAAGCAACCAAACAATTTGTTTGAGTCAACCACAAAATTTGGTTGAGTGTTTTTTGTTGGCATAACAAAAATGTTTGGTTAGCTCAACCAAATTTTTTTCTTAGGTCAACAAAAATGTTTGGTTGATGAAACCAACAGTTTTTTTTTTTTTGTAAAATTAAAATTTTTGATTCTACCTTATTTCTTTTCATTTTAACATTTTTATTTATTTTATTATTTATTTATTATCAATTTAACGTTTAATTTATATTTATCCAATTGAAATAATTGTGGACTTTTAAAAATCTCATCTCCGCCTGGGATCGAACCTCTGCGTTTTTAAACTGCAAGTCGGGAACTCTGACCAATGCACTACCCATCTTTGTGAGAGATTTAAACTAATTATTCTCTTAAGATACAAGCTGAGAGCGAATTAAATTATTTCGTTGTCGTAACCAAATTTTGGTTAGGACAACAAACGATCAATTGGTTTTTTAGACCAAACTATTTTGTTGTATTAACCAAATTTTGGTTGGAATTTAAAAATGTTGAACCAAATAATTTTGTTGGCCTAACCAAATATTTGGTTGAGATAACTCTACGACTTTATTTCAGCCAACCAAAATTTCGTTACAAGAACTAAATTGCCTAACCAAACGATTTTGTTGCAAACACAAAATATTTGTTTTCAGTGTATATATTATTATTATTATTATTATATAATATATTTTTTATAATATTATTATTATTATATTGTAATATAGTAGTATATATTATTATTATTTATTAATTTTGTTATAAAAAAATAATTGAATTAATTAAATTTTGAAATTTGCGCAAATCACTCAAAAAAAATAACCTATCTTTAAAAAAAAATTTTTTTAATAAAAAACACTTTTATTTTGAAAGTTCTAATCATTAAAAGAAAAAAAAATGCCTTACAATGAAAAAGAACGGATATGAATATCATTAATCATGTCCATATTCATTTTCATAAAATTCACGCGTATATGTTTATTAAATGAGTTATAATAATTGCTCTGTTTCATTGTGCTTGACTTTTTTCTTCTTCATGATTATATATATATACACACAAATATGTGTGCACGTCATTAGTGCGCGATCACCGATCAAGATCGACGAGAGGGTTACAATAGAGAAGCTTCAAGTTCACACAGATTGTTCCTAGATCACGTTATGTAAGATTATATAGCGTGTGAGCGAAAAAAAAATAGTATCCGTTAAATAGAAAAAGACAAGTATTTGTTACTCGCATGTATATATATATATGTAAGCAGCTTCCATATGGGTATATAAATATTATAACGGGATCAGCTAGAATCTTTGTCTAGATATATACATATAGGTACGAAAGTTTCGTATTATATATATATATTTTTTTTGCCTGTCAGATTGAAATCACTCGAAAAATTTATGTCTCTTCATTATAATACGTAGACAACAACAATATTCGACTCGTGAAACTTCGTTTGTTTAATTAAATTTTTATTTTGTATTTTCATTCGAAAAATTGTGTTTAGTTTTTAAATGTAAAATTAAATTATTCGATAATTGAATTTTATAATTAAATTTAGAATTATTTTTTCAAATTTTTGTTTTGTAATTTTTTTTTTGGGAAATTATTTTAGTTTATTTTTTATTTATTGTAATTTATTTACTTTATTATACTAATTCAATTATTCAGTAATTAATAAATAATTAATTAAATTTATTATCTAACCTTTTACATTTGGTGGAGAAAAATATTATTGTCTTGTTTCACACATTAATAAATTGACTTTTGTTCACTGAAGTTGGAAAGATTGCGACTGAAGCTTAAAAACCTGATCTAGTTATGATTTTCATTCATTAGAAAAGCGAAATAACGTAAAAAGTGCAACATTTCAAGAAGGGGAAATCATTACTGATTATGTAATTTCATGACTTTTACTCACGGTGCAATGAAACAATGAAACCTTTAAGATAATTGCTTCGCACCACCGATTCATTCAATTTCTTTATTTACAATTAAATATAGAAAATGCAAAAAAAATTTCATTTTAACAAATATAAAAATCGTGTGTAAATTATATCAATAAATAATTTATTATCAAATACATTCTTAATAATAATAAATTAAATAAATATAAAAAACTAAAAATGTAAATAAAAGAAATAATAAAAAAGAAGAAAAGAATTAAATTAATAATTAATATTAAAAAAATAATTATTATATTAATAATTAACAATTAGTTATCTATACTATAAATTAAAAATCAGTAAAAAGTAAAGTTCACAAATTATTATATATGGGGGATTTTACGTGAAGTGATCAAATGGAAAAAAATGGCTTTTTTCTTGTAATTATTTTTTTTTTCTTAAATATCAAAATAAATTTTTTTTTTATTAATATCAGTTTCGAAAACTTCTTTGATGCTCTTTCGATTGGTAATATGCATTTTTGAAAAAAAAAATTTTTAACCAAAAAAAAATGAAACTCAAAAATAAATTTGACTTTTTCGGGGTGAAAGATACACGGAGAAAAATGGAAAAACAAATAAAGTAACTTTTACTACTTTAAAAGTAAAACTGGAACTGTCCGCAGTTTCTGATTATTTCTGGCAAATTTTTACTCCAGAAATGGTAAAATTTACTATTTCCGGAATAATTTGTGCTATTTAAGGAGTAAATTTACTCCTGAAGTAGTAAAAATTATTCAGGAAATAGTAAATTTTACTAATTCTGAAGTAAAAATTTGCCAGAAATGATCAGAAACTGCGGACAGTTCCGGTTTTACTTTTAAAGTAGTAAAAGTTACTTTATTTGTTTTTCCATTTTTCTCCATGTACGATTTTCTTTTTAAATCGAGTTTAAGCGTGATCGGAGAAAAAAATTTTTGTATCTTGATCACTTCACCTCGAATCCTTCATATAAGCATTAAATAATATTTTCAATAGTTTGTAAACTATTGAAAATTTTAAAAATTAAGTAACGAAAGGACGAATTAGTTTTCGTTCGTGAACCTCTTCTTTTTTATGCCAACCAAATTCACAGCCAATTAATATTGCCGCGATTATAAAACCTGAAAATAAATTAAATTTACATTACTATATATTATACATTTAATTATCATTTATTTATTTTAAACATTATTTTACTATCAAGTAATAATTAGAAGAAATAAAATAAGAAGAAAAATTACAAACATTTTTTTGAGAATGAAAAAATTTTTTTGTTTATCATTTTATAAAATTTAGTATAACAACTTTTTATAACAATCACTTGAAAATATAAAATCGACTTCAGGGATTTTAAAAAGTATATATATTTATTTTTTAAATAAACAAGGTGTATTATTAGCGAAATAATTCACTGGTATTTGAAATAATACTTCTTAGAATGTTCAAGAAAAAAAAAAAAACTAATTATTGCATATTTTAAGACAACAGATTTATGGACAAGATTGAAATTTACTGTTCATTTCCTTTCGTTTTGTCGTGAAAAAACAATACCAACTGAAACGATATTCTGTTAAATTACATAATTTTTAAAAAATTTTAAGAATTAGAAGATTAATTACATATATATACTCTCAATTTTTCCAAATAGAATAATATTAATTTTTGATAACTAATTTATTTTTTATTATATTGTAATTAATTTAATTTGTATATTACTAATTGATATTTTATTTTTTGAAATTAATTTTTTAAATATATATAAGTAAATTATTAATAAAAAAAAAAATTATTTTTATTACCAATAGCAAGAACAAAAAATATTCCTTGCATGTCGCCCATATTCACTTTATGATTATTAGCCTCTTGATTATTTCCAGGACCTTCCCAACACTTATCTTTTAATGGCATCCTTTCGAGAATCCATTTATCAATTAATCCTGATTCATGCAATCGCTTCAATCTGAAAATAAAAAGTTTTCAAAAAAAAATCAAAATAAAATTAATCAAGTTATATATTTTAAATAATCTCACTCTTTGTTAATTATCGGCAAATACGGACTATCCTTACTAATCATCATGGCAATGGGTTCACTGATAAAATCCTCAGTACTAAGTGAAAAATGACATCGGCCAGATTCTAAAATATCTTTTCTGATGAGATATTTGAACGATGATTTCCAATCAATTAAAACATGATTTCCATTTTGAACTCGACTTATAATATTAATATCACTCGTCGAAATGTGCCTCTCAGCTTTTGTAAGGAGTTCCAAATATTTTGAATCCTCAGTATTTTCAAGATAATCCTCTAAAAAACTACCATTTGGAAAGCCCCATGTAAACTCGGACTTTCGTTCAAGAAGATCGTCAATGGTTGAAACAGTGTTGTCCATTCTTGGAAATGTCAAAAATGCCACTAAACTTCCGGAATAGGTGGCCACAATAACCATTACACCCAACCACCAAGTTCCAACAATCAAACGGGTACTGTCTTCTTGTGGCAAATGCATTCCACCTGTTTTTTTTTATATTTCAAAATTTTTATTGTATATATTTATTATTTATTTTTATAAAAATATTTTAGGGCTGATTACAAATCTGACATCAGTTTTTCAAGAAAATCTACTTGATAATGTAGAAAGTTACCGTCAAATCGGTGGGTAAAGAAGAAAGAACAAAAATGTACAAATTTCTGACTGCTGTTAATGTAGAAACCTACAACGCCATCAGTCGGTAAATGAGAAAATCAAAAGTACACAATTTACCGACTATTGATAGCGTAGAAATCTGCCTTTTCAACAGTCGGTAATAAAGGACATGAAACAAATACATTTCTGCTATTGCTAATGTGGAGATCAACTTTAACATCAGTCGGTAAAGAAGAAAACTAAATTCACAATTCGTCGACTGCTAACTATTGATAGCGAAAAAATTTACCTTGTCATCAGTTATGAAGGGAATTTAAAATTGTCTGAATTATCAGTTATTGATAATGTGAATATCTACCTTACCATTAGTCGGTAAATAAGAAAACTAAATTCACAATTCGCCGACTGCTGATAATGAAAGAATCTACTTTGCTATTAGTTGATGAAGAAGAAAATCGAATATATACACAATTTACCCACTGCTGAAAACGTAGAAATCTATCTCGCTACCAGTAGGTAAGGAAGAGAATACAAAAATGAGTTACCAGCTATTACAGTAAATAATAATAATACTAAAATCATAATTTGTCGACTACTGTTAATGTAGGAGTCAACAATGCCATCAGTCAGTCAAGAAGAAAATCGAAAATACACAATTCACTGATTGTTGATAACGTAAAAATCTACCTTATCACCAGTCGGTAATGAAGGAAATTTTAAAAATATAGAAATTGTCAGCTATTTATAACGTGGATATCAACCTTATCATTAGGCGGTAAATAATTTACCGACTGTTGTTAACATAGAAATCTATCTTGCCTCCAGTAGGTAACGAATGGAATACAAAAAATATAACTTTTTTGATAATGTGGAGATCTACGTTAACATCAATCGGTAAGTAAGAAAACTTTTTTTTACAATTTAACGATTGCTATTAGTTGATAAAGAAGAGAAAACCAAAATTTACAAATTGCTGACTGCAAATGATGAGCTTAATAAAAATAGTCTGTCATATTGGATTCACCATTTTGAATTTTGAAAAACTGACATCAAATTCCTAATCAACTTTGTCTTATAAGAATCATCAATAAAGTAGGATTCGATTTTTTGATCCTTTTTTATAATCTTAGAATTCTTTTTTCAATTTAAAAATATAAGTTGTAAGATAATTATAAACTAATTAGTCGCATAATAATAAATGATACAACGAAGAAAACAAGATCAAAAGTCGAAATATTTCTTCACTTCGAATTATATATGTATATATATCCATTAACTCAATCTTCTTGTATATTATTTTTTTACTATTATTTACATTGTTCTGTATATACTTAAAATTCCCCGCAATTGGAATATATTACGATTTTTTTTTAATATGTCAATGTATTATTGACAATATAATTGTATATAATTATACACAGCTAATGGGAGAAATGTTGCTTAAAGTGAATGTAAATAGACTTGCTTAATGATAATTTACACAGAGGTATTCTTTTTTTGACATGCCTCAAGTTTATTAACTATAATATTTAGTATAGAGACAAGGCTGATGAGTTGAGCGTTAAATATATATTATTTATTATCATTATATCATTAAACGTTACGCTTCCAAGAACAAGATGATAATATACCTTGTTGAAGAAGAGCTCCATAGACATACCACACACATTGATATGGAGTGTTAAGACCAACAACCTCTTGTGCGTTAATCGTTGGCTTTGGATTGAACTTATGCATCAGATATAAAATTAGTCCTATTACAATAATTGTAGAGCTCAAACAAGCCCAAGTCTAATAAAAAAAAGAAAGTAAATTAAAACAAAATTACTTTTCTACTTCGCTTCACGTATTTTCAAATTATTATCAACTATCTATATACCAATGCGAAATTGCCAATGGTGACGATTGGCTAAATAATTGGCCAAGATTGGTTTTTTCTTGTCTTACTATTGGCACCCAATATTGGACTGCGAATAGTAAAATCTTGGTATGATTACGACGTTGACAATCATTGGTAAATTTTACCATTCTCGGTCCAATATTGGGTGCCATCATTGCACCAATATTGGAACGACTGGCTACCAATATTGGGCCATAATTAAACCAATGGTTTATTTCCCATTGGATACATATATAATTATATGTTTCTCTATTTTACAAATACACTAAAACTCGTGTTTAGTGAACTTTTAGATGTCCAGTAATTTGGGATATTTAATAATTATTTTACTATGCCCAAACAATAAGGGTTGATTTTTTAATTATTATAATTATCATGAATCATTTACACAACCTTGATTGTTTCGGTAATTATAACCTCCAAAAATAATCTTACTCCGATTTACAATTAGTGGACAAACACCGTCCTTTACCCAAGAGTTTCACTAAACTAAAGTTAGATATAAAGATGCATAAATAGACTCTAAAATTAATTTATTTTCATTTGCAGAATTTCCCGAATGTCGTTTGGAAAAAAACTAACTCTACTGCGAATAAATATAAATAACAAATGAATAGCGCATTAGCAGACTTAGGAACGAATGACTCACGCTATTATTAGCTATATCAAAATAATAAAAATGTGTAATTGAAAAACAGGTTTAGAATGTCTACTTTTGAATTTTTAGCTCGCTATCCCCGTAATATTGCATCCGTTTCTTTAAATTTTAAAAATCTGACTTCGTATGCGCAATCAGTGACCCCAAAAAATCTCCGAGGAAAAAGTTTCATATGTAGCTGAAGTATGAGACGTCACAAGTCGTCTCACAAAACGCTCACAGCGCCACGCAAGCAATATTACATAGACGTCGCAAGCGGGCAATAATCCAAACACAACTGTTATTGTATTCGATAAATCATATTAAACATATGATTATTATTTAAACATTTTAACACATAAAAGCTAACAATTTAAAAACTCTTACGTATAAAAAAGTAAAACAGAAATTATGACATTTATTTTTAAATTAATAAGGGGGTCATATTTAAGGTTATTATGCGCAACGATAGTAAAATTCAAATTTAACATTTATGCATAATTAATAACAATTAAATTGCTTTGACCAAAAATTTTATTTTTCCTTACGCATTCGCACATTAAATATGAACAAATTTATGCAATAAAAGTTTAAAAAAAGTTCTAGGATATTAATTAATTTTCAGAAAAACTATCTTGGCGCGAAGATTTTGAACTAAAAACTCAACATTTATGCATAAATAATAACAATTAAATTGCTTCGACCAAAAATTTTATTTTTCCTACGCATTCGCACATTAAATATGAACACATTTATGCAATAAAAGTTTAAAAAAAGTTCTAGGATATCAATTAATTTTCATAAAAACTATCTTGGCGCGAAGATTTTGAACTAAAAACTCAACAATTATGCATAAATAATAACAATTAAATTGCTTCGATTTAAACAAAAAAAAACCGGCATATTGTATTCGACATTTTGAATTTTGAAAATCTGACTTCCGATTCGTTATCAGCGACCCCGAAAACTCCCGCCATTTTGAATTTTGAAAATTTTAAAAATCTGAAGTGAAGTGTCCTTACACTACTTCGTGGATATTATTAAGTAGGGTGCCAATGACTGGAACAGTGCGAATACAAAAATTTTTTTGTTAATTACAACATTTTATCATATTTTTAATCAAAAATGATAATTTTTCTAAATTCTACATTAAATTTAGAATCAATGTTATATCATAAATAACAGATTGTTTTATCTTTATACTTTAATTAATAAATTAAAAATATCCAAATCTACTGCCTAAACATTAAATAATTTTAAAAAATTGAAAAATATATACCTCATTTGTAAATGGAGCAATAAACAATAATGCTCTGGACAGTATTTTTGGTTTAGGCGCCAATAGAGTATAAGTTTGCATCGAAATTGGTACTGTATAATTAATAATTTTTTTTTTATCTTCATAAACAGTGTATACACAAGCAGCAAAGAAAACTTTATTATTTCTTAACATTTGTAAAACACTTTCTGGTAATTTTTGACCCACTGACATTCCACTTCCCTCATAACTTGAATTATCTGACAACTGCGTTGCAACAAAAACCGAAAAAAAATTCAATTTTTAAAAATTGTTATTTTTATTAATTAATTTTTTTTTATTCTTACCCTTTTAGAAAAACCTAAACTTCGTATATTATTTGCTGCTTTTGTTGTACCGGAACTTGTCGCCAATATCACTTGATATGTAAAATTTAATTTTTTACTCAATTCTTCAACAATGTCAAAAGTTAAACCTTCATAATTTGGCACTCCATTTGTTGAATATTCAACTATCTGCCAAGGAGGGTTCTGAAATTTTATTTAGTGTTTAGTTAAATGATACACATGAACGTTTCACACATTAGATCTGTCAGGATTTTTTTTTAATTTTATAAAATGAATTTTATAATGATCCTGATTTTCATATAGGAGAATTTCAATTATTTAACTATAAACTTTTGTATAGCTGGTTTTCTAATACATTGAATTTTCAAAAAATACAATTTCCATTTAACAAAATTTATATGCAGAAAAAATTTTCATATTTAATTCAATTTTTAAATTTAATATTATATTATATAAATTTTCATTGAAAATATGATATGTACTTATTATGTAGCAAGTGTGAAATTTGAAAATAATAAACTCACATGATATGTGATGATTGGCAAGGTTTTACCTCTAAAGCCATAATCAATATGTGGGAATATAGAATCTGTTAAATTAGATCCCGGACCCGGAGACCACGACCCGGAGTGAATTAATTGCCCCCTTCCTGCCAGAATGGAATCAAACGAATTTCCCCAAGTTATCGCAGACCCAATCCTCCAAGTTAAACATTTACCGCAATTACCATCGGATGTCGATCTCTCTACAGTCAGGGCTTTCTGTCAAGTTGCAATGCAAAGTATAAAATTAGCTTTATAAAGAAAAAACCAATTTTAACAAAATTAAATTTTATTTTTACTGTTTTATAAAAATTTTATATGAATATATTTTGTTTGTTTTTCAGGTACACTACTTCAATGGTTTCTTCTTATGATTTTTTTGTTTGTTTCAAATTACAATTGTTAAATTTGATGTTTAAGAAAAAAACGTCAAAATTTTACAAGTTACCAACTGCTGATAATGTGGCAATCTACCTTATCATACACCGATAATAAAATAATACCAAAATTCACAATTTACCGACTTGCTACAAAAGTAGAAATCTACCTTAACATCAATAGGTAAGGACAAAATTAACGTTTTTCTGTTCTATGATAATGTAGGAATCTACATTACCATCAGTCAGTAACAGAGAAAAACAAAAATCTTCAAGTTGCCGACTGCTGATAAAGATCGACTGTAAAATTGAAATATATATTTAAATTAATAATGAACATTATGAAATTAATAATTTTATTTTACGAAATTTAAATTTTTTATTAATTATTTTCTAATTAATTGTGTCTATTTATTAATATTATAACTTTTATTTAAAATTACCAACATTTAAATTTTCGGTGATTTCCTTTGCTCTTTCTTCTTTTGACAATCTTAGAACTTCAAATTCTTCATCAGTTACTCTTGAAAATAAATCTAATTCACTTTGATAAGAAATTTCCAATGCAAGTGATAAGGATTTAATCAATTCTTTCAGGTGACAAAATAAACCTGACTGAAACATTATTAGTAATTTTTATTTTATTGAAATTGTTATTCTAAATAAACGTCACTTTGCAATATTTATTCATAATTATTTCACATGAAATAAGCAAAATAAAATTATTTGCAAATGTATCTCTCTTTCTCTCTCAGATTCACGAAATAGAAAGAGAGTTTCTTCCCTCCACCCTCTTATAATTTTTGGAAAATATTTTGATTTTTTAAATTCAAGAGACATAAAATTCCAGAACTTCCGAAACTATTTTTAAAAATATATTCGTGTTCTCATTAACACGATAGAAAGAGAAATACAAACCAAAATGTCTGACGAAGTAGGTAAAAGTATCTGACTAGACCGCCAATAAGCAGTAAAAAAAAATGTCTCCCGGATGTTTTGTTGTCATGTGATTGGTGGAAAATTTAAAATTATCCTAGCGCGTTTAATTTTCGTACGACCACGTGATTACAAATTTATTGTATCCTTCGTAAATTTTTCAAGATTAGGTTATTAGTTCAATAGAGACGGTCAGACATAACGATACATTTTTGAAAAATACCTTCTCGCGTTACGATCGGCCTTACAACCACGTGTTCATGATAAAATATAATTTAAAATTTTTTAATTTTTACATATAAGTGAATTATTATCTTTCGGGAGTGTTCGTTTCTCTTAAATCCGCGTTCGTATAAGTAAAAATTAAATAAGTTTTGATTCTCACAGTTAACACGTGGTTCAGGAGTGTCCCGATTTTTTTTAAAATCGCAATTTTTTTGATCTTTAAATGGGACGTTCTTTGTCAACCGGACCACCCCATCTCTCCATAATTGGTTTAATTTAAAAAAATTTTATCATATTGGAAAAATTAGCTTGGAATGTCTACTTTTTAATCCCGTTGGGCGCTTTTTGAAATTCAAAATGGCGACTTAAATATGGCGCCTAAACGACATAAAAAACACAAAAAATCCACTAATATGATCTATATTATTGTTTAAAGCTTTACATATGACGATAAAAATAACCACAACATAGTTTACTTACAAACTGATAACGTATCTCCATTCAAAATTCAAAAATTCAAAATAGCGTATTAAATATGGCGGATAAAATTAAAAATTGAGCTAGACTCGTGAAAATTACTATTTGAGGGTTTTCAAGGTCGCTGGTTACAAATTTGATGTCAGTTTTTAAAAATAATAAATGGCAGATTTAAAATGGCGGACCAAAAATTTAAAAAATTGAGGTAATTTCGTTAAAATGTCTACATAGGGGTTTTTTTGGTCGCTTATTACAAAGCCGATGTCAGTTTTAAAAAATTTTTAAATGGTTGATGACAAATCTCTATTTAAAATTCAAAATGGTGGATAGAATTAACAAATTAAGCTGGTCTTATGATTATTAATTAAATAATCCTCACGTAATTTCCATAAAAAGTTATCTGGCGTTATATCTGATAAGTTCAAATAGCACTTTTTTACGTTCAATATAAAAAAGTTAGATCAATTTTTTATATTTTGGTCCACCATTTTAGATTCAGCATTTTGATTTTTTAAAAAGTAACGATGAATTCGTAAAGATTGTTCTGCAAAACCCTTAGGTAGAGATTTTAACGAGTTTAGCTCAATTTTTTGGATTTTTGGTCCGCCATTCAGAATTTTTAAAAAGTAACCGCAGATTCGTAATCAGTGACCCAGAAAACCCCCGAGTAAACAATTTCACGTGTTTAACTCAATTATTTAAATTTTGGGCTACTATTTTAAGTCCGCCATTTTGAATTTTTAAAAACTATCACCGGATTTGTAATCAGCGACCCCAAAAAGCCCCGAGTAACAAGTTTCAGGCGAATCTAAACGATTTTTCAATTTTTGTCCACCATATTGGATCCGTCATTTTGAATTTTTGGAAACTAATACCGGATTCGTAATCAGCGACCCCAAAAACCCCCGAGTAACAAGTTTCAGGGGAATTTAAACCATTTTTCAATTTTTGTCCACCATATTGGATCCGTCATTTTGAATTTTAAATAGAGATTTGTCATCAACCATTTAAAAATTTTTTAAAACTGACATCGGCTTTGTAATAAGCGACCAAAAAACCCCTATGTAGACATTTTTACGAAATTTCCTCAATTTTTTAAATTTTTGGTCCGACATTTTAAATCCGCCATTTATTATTTTTCAAAAACAGACATCAAATTTATAACCAGCGACCTCGAAAACCCCCAAGTAGTAATTTTCACGAGTCTAGCTCAATTTTTAATTTTATCCGCCATATTTAATACGCCATTTTGAATTTTTGAATTTAGAATGGAGATACGTTATCAGTTTGTAAGTAAACTATGTTGTGGTTCTTTTTATCGTCAAATGTAAAGCTTTAAACAATAATATAGATCACATTAGTGGATTTTTTGTGTTTTTTATGTCGTTTAGGCGCCATATTTAAGTCCGGTTGACAAAGAACGTCCCAAATATATTTTGACTTATATATTATAAATTAAAGAATAGGAAGGAGGATGCGGAGAAAGCATGGCCCCTCATAGTTCCCCTGGTACAGAAGATGGAGATGCTGCCATCGTTCCATCGAGGGAACACACAATCCGTAAGTCGAATTTTGTTCCACTACCTTACCTTGTAAATGAACCAAAATTATTGTGCATGATAGGGTAAAGGGTACAGTGAACGATACCTGCTATTAAAAACGATAATAACTGGGTCATTGCAGTGAAATTCAACTAGAGCCGGTTGCTCGATAATTTCTAAAATCGCTGTATATATACGAAAGCCAGTATATATATAAATTAAATAAATAAATTAAAAATATAACATTAACGAAACATAATTACATCACAAAAAGGACCAAAGTTCGTGGCGTTGTAAATGAATGCGACATTTTCGCCCTCAATTAATCTTTGTGTTAAAGCAGTTACATTTGTTTTGCGTTTCGATACATCGCTCAATATAAAAAGCCACTGATTACCTGAATGAACCAATCTCAATGATCTTGCCTACAAAGGAAATGTTATTAATTTTTTTTCATTTCTTATTATAATTCCTTAAATGGTTGATGAAATTATATAATTTATTTATACATAAATAAGTTTAGTTAGTATAAATTATTATAAATAATGACGCCAAAATCTACAATTTTTAGCCCATTTTTGGGTCCTCGAATTTCCACATTTAAACAAAGTCCAAAGTTCTTTATATTAAGGAACAACAATTCCATAAACATTCAGAGTTGAGCAAAACTTTTGTTTTGAAAATACATTGTTACAAAAAGAGTTAAAAAACACAATTATATTGCAAAGAATTGAACAAAATACTACTATAAGAGTAAAAAAAAATTACACCCCGATACAAGTAGAGAAAGACCCCTATTACTATCCATAAGTCAAATATATGAATAAAAATTCTCAAAACATTCAATTATTCCTAGCCAACAGAGTAGTAATAGGTATCCAACACCTACTTGTATCGCAGATAAATTTTTTTATACTCTTATAGTAGTATTGTATGCAAGAATTTGCAATAAAATAGTCTGCCTAAGAAAAATTGAATTTTTTTTGGATTTTTTTCATCATATGGGTTGCTTAAAACGTATTATAGTAGTAGAGCTATGAGAGTTCTGGGACAGGTTCATATCTCGGCTAAGTTACCTACAGTCGGTAATGCAGATTTGCCAACTGTCGGTAAGGTAGAAACCTGTTACAAATTTTGGATCAACCGATAAGGTGGGGATCTGTTTTACCGACCTTCAATTGTTATTAACAAATTTAATTGTTATTAAAAAATATAAAATATAACAATTTAATTATTTATTTTTACTATTTATTAAGGTAATTTTATGCATAACTTATTGCAGTATATTTATTAACAATTTGTCACAATTGTTATTAACAAAGGTACATTATCTCGCGAATTTAATTTTCGAACATTTTTCCCCCAATTTTTTGATTGTAGCTCAGCATCCGCTGGACCAATCAAAAAGTGCGCGATACATTTCTTGTTCGAGACTTTTTGCTCAATTTTTTGGCATTATTCCCGAGACATTATCTCGCGAATTTAATTTTCGAAAATTTTTCCCCCAATTTTTTGATTGTAGCTCAGCATCCGCTGGACCAATCAAAAAGTGCGCCATACATTTTTTGTTCGAGACTTTTTGCTCAATTTTTTGGCATTATTCCCGAGACATTATTCGCGAATTTAATTTTCGAAAATTTTTCCCCCAATTTTTTGATTGTAGCTCAGCATCCGCTGGACCAATCAAAAAGTGCGCCATACATTTCTTGTTCGAGACTTTTTGCTCAATTTTTTGGCATTATTCCCGAGACATTATCTCGCGAATTTAATTTTCGAAAATTTTTCCCCCAATTTTTTGATTGTAGCTCAGCATCTGCTGGACCAATCAAAAAGTGCGCCATACATTTTTTGTTCGAGACTTTTTGCTTAATTTTTTGCAGGGATGTGTCCGGAAACGGAACTAAAATCAATTTTAATTTTGTTCCGTTCCGTGCCAGAGGCATGAAACTGAATTACTTAAGAAATTTGTTTTGTGTCCCGGCACGAAACAAAAATAAGAGGCAATTTTATTTTGTGCCGAGGAACGAAACAAAAAGACGAGGTAATTATATTTCGTTCCGAGGTACGAATCCAAAATAAGTGGTAATTATAATTTGTGCCAAGGAACAAAACAAAAATAAGAGGTAACTATATTTTGTGCTGTGGAAAGAAACAAAAATAAGTAGAAATTTTATTTCGTTCCAAGCTCAAAAACAGAAATATATAGTAATACATTTACGTGTCCTGACACGTTACTAATTAGACTCGGATTTTGTTTTGATTCTAAACCATCTATTCAACATGATACAAACATTTAAATCTCATAAATTCCGAGAAATGAATATTTATCGAATTCTATAGTTTATTTCATTATTAAGATTAAATAAAAATACTCTATAAATTGTAATATATGAATATTAACATCATAAATGAATATTGTACCCTTTCAGATATGTGTATATTTTTTTACTCAACAAAGTTTATAGATCATTGTACCCGTAAGGGTTTTTGGGGTCGCTAATTAAGAACCAATATCAGTTTTTTTAAAAATTCAAAATGGCGTATCCAATATGGCAGACGAGTTTTTAAAAAAATTATCGGATTTACATGAAACTTATTACTTAGGGGTTTTTGGGTCGCTGATTACGAATCTGATATCCGTTTTTAAAAATTCATAATGGCGAATCCAATATGGCAGACGATTTTTTAAAAAAATTATTGTATTTACATGAAACTCGTTACTCAGGGGTTATTTGGGTTACTGATTACAAATCCGATATCAGTTTTCAAAATTCAAAATGGCGGATTCAATATGCCGAATAATTTTGCAAAATGTCCTAGCCGTAGCCGGATATCTCTACGATGTCCTCAGGATATCTATGGATATCCTAATTACCGGATATCCCTAGAACGTTCGTAGGATTTCTTGAATATCCGGATGCTGTTAGGGAATATTAATTAAGTAAAAACTCAAAGAATATTTTATGATTACATGTTTTCATGATAGTACCCGGTTATGATACACCCTGTATATATTCAGTCTATATTTATTTTATTTTAATTAAATTTCTCAGAAGTCTTATTTAACATTTAATAGACAGTCAACTGGTTGATAAACAATTTTTATTGTATGCGACTTATTTATTTTATTTATTTACTATACATATATACACTGCCGCTCAATAATATTTACCCACCTTACAGCATATTAGGGCTTTACAAAAAGTTTTGCATCTTTAATTCTAAAAAAGATGTAACCTTCCTCAAATATTCATCTTAAAGCTTATATCTTTGACTTTAACGATACAAAAAAGAAAATAAAAAAATGCATTGTTTAATTGTTTAAAATAACAAAAAAAATTTTCATTTTTTTTGTAAATTTCAAATTGATCTTGGTTATTTTTTTCAATTGTTGATAACTTATGAACAATTAAGTTTTGAAAAAAATTGTTTAGAGAAAAAATGTTCCTTATTATGTGTAGAACTAGGAAAAAATAATTAAAATTTTTTAAAAATAATTTTGTTTTTCTCATTTTGACCTCATGTATTTGTCGTAAAAATATATAAGATCAAAATGGGAGAAAAACAAAATTATTTTAAAAAAATTTTTAATATTTTTTTCCTAATTCTACTTATAATGAGGAACATTTTTTCTCTAACCAATTTTTTTCAAAAGTTAATTGTTCATAAGTTATCAACAATTGAAAATTTTTTTCAATGACTGATAACTCGAAAAAAATGGATTTTTTAAATTTTTGATAAGAGAAGAAAAGTTTCAGTTTTTCTTTTACTTTTCAATGATGTTAACAAAAATTTTTTAACAATTTTACAATTTTTTTTAATTTTTAAAAATGCACAAAATGCTGCGCGCGGTGTTTAAACGTTTACTTAAACCAATAAAACTTATCGGCCCACTCTAAATTTTTTTTTTCAAAATTTTCTTAGTATTTCCAGGTATGTTTAAAAAAAATTAAAAAAATATCATAGCCAAATTAAAAAAAACTTTATTTGTTTATAAAAAATTGTTATTTTTTTTAATAAAAAATGAAAAAAAAAATTTTTTGTTAACATTATTGAAAAGTAAAACAAAAACTGAAACTTTTCTTCTCTTATCAAAAATTGAAAAAATCCATTTTTTTCGAGTTATCAGTCATTGAAAATAGGTCTACATTGAAGAAACTGAAATTTCGAAAAATTTTCAAAAAATAAAAGAAAATAGAAAAAGTAACGGTAACGCATTACTCTTTTCAAAAAGTAACTGTTCCCATAGCATATTACTGTTTAGAAAATGTAACGCAATAATTTTTAGAAACATTATCGGTAACGATTACGCGTTACTGTTTAAAAAAAGAATGTTAACGAATTATTTTTTAAAAAATGTATTGGTCACGATTAGCGATACTTTTTACAAAAAGTAACGGTAATGCGTCACTTTTTAAAAATAGTTACAGTAAAGATTGTATGTTACTGCATAGAAAAAGTAACGGTAACGCGTTACTCGTTAAAAAAGTAACTGTTCCCACAGCACATTACTGTTTAGAAAAAGTAATCCTATTGATAACGAGGGGGGCCGGGGGTTATAAAAAGAATAAAATATTGTTAACTTATTTTATGGAGGGCCCCTTATTAATAATACCACCCTTTATATGATACATTTTATTGTAGTCGAGTAATTGATTTTATCAATTTTATTAAAAAGTATTACGCATGTAACTCATAAAGCTGTGGTTTGATTTTTTTATAATAAGAGACTAAGTACATATTATTTAGAATAAAAACATTTTTTTGTCTCTTTTCATTTCTAATGTTGGACATATAACGAATTTGAAAGATAATATCCTTGAGTGCAAGGACACTTACTGTAAACAGGCCCGACAATCTGTTCTCATTTATTGTTGTTTACGTATTTGGAACGGAATAATATTCCTAAATAATTAATTTTATTCTGTACTTATAGCACGAAAATAAATACCTGTAAATTTTTGTTTTGTACCTTGGCACGGAACTAAATATATATGGGCAAATCCACAGAACCGGCCGATTTTTACTTATCAAGATGAAAATTTTCCAAATAGCAAGCACACCTTTTATTTATGGTTTACTTTCTTTAAAATATATTCAAGAACAATTATCTTCTTGCGTGATTAATTTTATTTTAATGCCGTTTGAGTTAAAAGCCAAAAACGAAAATATTATTTTTCTTCTGGAAATTATAATTAAAAATGGCATTTCTTTGTTTTTTCTATATATTATTTGCAATATGTGCAAAACATTTTGAATAATAAAATATGATAAAATACAAATAATTAATTTTTTAATTATCAAAAATAAATTATTTATATTTTATCATATTTTATTATATATTTTATTTATTAGCATTTAATTTTTTATTTCTGTAAATTAAATTGTTTACTTACTAATTTTGATATTAACTATTTTAACCAAC